ACCGGCTAGGCAAACGGCTAATGCACGCGTGACGCACTTTCACGTGTGCATCAACAGTGCGAAGGTAATTAAATTACCTTCGCACTGTTCAAATGCAATTTGAACACAGAAGAGCAAAAACTAATGGAAACGGGCGCACCTGTTTCTAGAGATTGCGAAAAAGGCTGCAATGCTGGTGGGGTTCGACTGCTTTTCGTTTCTGGCGATGGTGAAGAAGGCTGCAATACTGGTGTGGGTTCGAATGCTTTCGGTTTCTGGCGATGGTGAGGAAGGCTACAACGCCGGTGTGGGTTCGACTGCTTTCTGTCAATAACCGATGGTTCGGTGATCAATTGTTTTCTTGCAGGGATGAAAATAGGGCTGATCCGTGACTTCCCTCTGCACTTCTCTCCTTTTCTGTGTATATATATTTTTGTTTATGCCCTGTTTTTTTTTGGTTTTTTACTCTGTTTTGGGTTAATGTTTTCGTTCTTGACTCTGTATATTTTTTTTTTGTGTTGTGTTTTGTTTGCTCTGTTTTTCTGGGTTCTGTTTTTGGGTTAATTTTTCAGTCTTTGCGTTGTTTTTGGGTTGATTTTTGCCTTCTCGTTCTGTATTTTTTGCTCCCTTTTATAGAGACCCAACGGATTGCTTCTAACCAGTCCTGCCTTTGCAGGACTGTTATCTTCCACGAACGAGATTACAGGCGAGAGATGTGGTCCACGATTGGATCGAACCCGTTGCAGATTTTCAGCCTATTGAATCGGGTTGGAGAAGACAAACACAACTGTTCCACCAGCAACGACGACATTTTGGCAGCAAAGGATTCCACCAGCAACGACAACGTTTCAGCAACAATGGACATTTTCTTTTTGACCTCTGAACTTTGGAAATTTAGCAATTGGACACCTAATCAATTAAAAATTTCTTTTAATTTTGCCCCTTTTGGATTAATTTCAATTAGATCCCTAAACTGGTACACTGTTTACAAAACAGTCCTTAACTCCTGGATTGTTCAAATTGATCCTTAATTAATTCTTTTAATCTTTTCATTTTGGATTAATTTCAATTAAATCCCTGAATTATAACACTATTTACAAAACAATCCTTAATTTTCGGATTGTTCAATTTAGCCTTTAATTAAATCTTTAACTTTTAATTCTTTGAAAATTTATCAATTAACTCTCAAATCACATCACCAAACTTCAAATTTTTTTGTCTTAACCCCATTGTCAATTATATTTAATTTTTTATTATTTGTTCAAAAATTGGGTTATGACTATATATATATAACTTGGAGGTAATTTTGTTTGACCTGGTTGACTTGACGAGTTAACTCATGAATCTGTCAAACCTGGTTTGATATTTTTTTAAAATGATTGTCGCAAGTCAATCCGTAATCCCGACCTTGCAATGAAAAAACATGATCAACTTTTACTTTTAGTGTCAATGACACCAGAATTAGGGAAGCAAGTATACATATACAAAACATGAAAGTCATAAAACACTTTCTGTCGATAACTTACATTATTAATGGATTTATCGATAAAAACACTTCGTCAAAAATTTTTTTGTTAGGAATTTGGTGTCCATCAGAATTTTCATAGGTAATTGGTAATTATGATGGAAATGTTGATGGAATATTTACACCGAAAAAATAAATTGCATTGGCCAATCTTTATTGACCATTCTACTAGTAAATAAATTACCAATAACATATCTTATTGTCTATTCCATTAAAAAAACTGAATATTATTGGGGGTATAGTCGATGTAATTTGCTACAAATTTTCCATTGCTAATTTCAAAAAAGTCTAAAAACTCTAAAGCATTTTGTAACTTCTTGAAGTAGTGGCTCTTGTATTTTAGAGGAAATTACCAATTGATAAAATATATTCTTAGGAAGATTAGTATTGTTTTTAGTTATGCAGTTGTTAATTTAAAAAAACAACAAAAATAATAGTGAAAACAAACACTATTAATTTTGTTGAACATCAAAATTCAGTATTCATTACAAAATAAGTTTACAACAATAAATATATCGCTACACGATGAAAGTAGAGGTTAAAGAAGGGAAAATCTTGATCCAAAAAGACTGGAGTGGGGATCAAGAAAATGTGAAGCCATGTATTCCATCATTTTCTCCTAATTCCACACATTTTCTTCTTTTAATCTGGCTCTCCTTTCTTGTTTTAATTTGGTTACTTGCTTCTTATTCTATTCTAGGACCCTCACTTCAAATTTCAACATCAATTAGTTTGGGCTGGACTATTTTGTGCTTAGAGCTGAAGTAGTACAAATCGACCTCATAGGTGGAACATAAACTCGATTCTGATTAGATCCATTAGTTACTCCAACTTCCAACCATAATTGAGGGTCATAAGAAACATAAGTGAGTGTTTTCTTTATGTTTTTCAAACATTATTATGTTATATATTTCTTTTAAAAAATCAATTATAATTAAAAGAATCATAAAAATTACAACAACAAAATAACTTACAATGAATGCCCTAGCTTTGCTATCTACAAATTTCTTTACTATTTTCCCTTTACTTGTCTTTTTTTATATAAGTTTTCTTACAAAATACATGAGTTGTAAAAATATCTAACAAAGAAATAATAAATTAAAAACTAAAGAAAAAATAATTTAAAAATTTATTCAGATACTTTGCATGGTTAACAAATAGAAGAGACCTACCGATGCACTTGCTCATTGAACAATATATTTTTTTGTTTTGGTTATGTGTCTCGAATTGTGGATACCTTTTGAATTATTTCGATGCCATAAAATCTTGAAACTTCACCCAAATATCATCTATGATGTGACTCAATTTATACTTTTTCATACATCGATGTCATTAGAGTCGACTCGGGTTCTTACATGTGTATGTATCATATCACAAATCAGACAATCTAATGCATAAAAATTGTGAAATATACTTAAAATTTAGGAATTTAAGATTACAATTTCAAATATATATATTTTTAATTTCTTGATTATAACATCCTCAACTTTTAATAATTCACAAAGTAAGAATATTATATTTAATTCAAGACGAGGGATAATTTTTTTTAAAAAAAATTATGGTAGAGTTTCCTTTGTTTTTTCTATCTATCAAGTAGCAATAATTTTATTTTTTTATCATGCAATCGAATATCATACACCCTCCCATCACCAAGACTTCACATTTACAATCACTTGACATAATCAACATAATCAATTTAATATTTCTATTTGATAACTCGATCTATCTTTATTTACAAACACTTCTCAAATGATATAATTTTCAATATTTGCAAATATAAATTAACATAAAAATTTAATATATAATGTAATCTACTTAAAATTTTTAAAGTAAACCTATGAATAAATTAACATAAAAATTTAATATATAATATAATCTACTTAAATTTTTAAGACATCAACTCTTTGATCGTGTCAGTAAACCTATGGAAAAATATAAATTAAAAACATCCAAGCAACCCCCCTTCCTTTATTTGAATACAAGGCCAATACATAAATTAAGAAATATTCACATTTCAAAATAACTTAATAATATAAATTCATTACAAGTTCCATAACAAAATAATATCTCCTACTTATTTATGGATGACACATTGCTATGAGGTACTTAAAAATTAAATTGAATATAGAAATTAACTATACACATTAATCACAACAATTAAAATTTATTAAATAAAGTTTCATTATTTTACTTGATTAAGTCAACTCTTGGTTAACTACACTATTTTATATTTTTATTAACTCAAATCCTTTCATAAACATCTGTTTCATTTCTTGGTAAATTTTTCCCCCTCTCAAAACCAAGCATAAACTCTTAAACATGGTAAGCAACCACATTATCCGCACTGGATGCTAGTTATTAAACCAAGACAACTAGCTCATATTATCAAAACAGGACACTAGTCCAATTTCACATATATTATAACAAACCATCAATTGATTCCTTCATCTAACACTTTAATTATTAATTTACAATTAGATTGAAGCAACGAAACGAATCTCCTTAAAAGATTTAATTTGGCTCAGATGTAGTGGATTGGATTTTTTCTTTTTCATTTATTAAATTCTCAATCTCACCCATCTTAATATATTCATTAGTATATTCTAGCATAATCAATTACAATCCTAATATTGCAAAACTTAAATTTTCATTGAATTTATTCAATTGAATCATTAGCTATCTATTATTTGGTTGCCTTGTCATCATTTATTCATTCATCCATCATCTCAACAATTTTAACACCCTACCATAGAAAATCCAACATGCACCAACACTAACACTTTCAAACACTAACACTTTCAATTCTTCAAAATACATCAAGATATATCAATTAACTAGTTTAGATGTATTATGAACTTTCTGATGCAAAGAAAATAAAAGGTTTGAAGCTTTGAAAAACACCCCAACACACTTTTCCTTCTCTCTTTTTTTTCTTTTGCCGTGACTTTTGGGATTCTTTTCAATTTTCTTGTTCTAATCTCTCTGTACTATCCTTTGATCACTTAATCTATGTTTTTTTTTTCTGTGTTTCTAAGATGAATTTTCAAGGTTTTCTAACAATTTTCACCTTCCCTTCCTTCCTAACTTGGCTGGCCACTCGTGGCCATAAAAAATACTATTCATTTATTTTATAATTCATCAATTCTTCTTAATTACACTCTTGACCCATAGTTCTTTCAATTACACATTAAGCCCCATGTTCCTTCTTTCTGCTATCTAATGTTTCTTAATTTTTCTTCCGTTCAATTTCACCTATGTATAATTCATATATTTTTTTTTATTATTTTTTTCAAATAAATTTTAGCATATTTACTAACTTACACTTGTCTTATTGCAACATAGTTTCTTATACTCTTGTGATCACCCCTTTCCTTTTATTTTCCAACAAAATCTTTCATGGATTGCAATTCGTACATAATTAATTTTTTAAAATAAAAAAAAATGATATACCAACTCAAAAAAAATTTCTATCTTTTTTAAAATAATTCTCATCATAAAAAAAAATGATATACCAACTCAAAAATTTTTTTTTTATCTTTTTTAAAATAGTTCTCATAAAATATCTACCATATTCATCTATTTAATATGATTTTGAAGATGACTCCACTAAAATATTAGTTTTTCGAATGATGATTTTATCCCATTTGTGATAAATTGTGTAGCTTCAATATTTGTATTCCTGCAAAACAAAATCACACAAAGTTATTCATTTTCATTTAATGTGAATCTTAAAATATTCTAATCAAAATAAATAACTTCAACACCATAATTTATATTGAGTGACCAACCTACCATTGTGCAATAATTTTTCTAGAATATATAAATCTTTTGAACAAGGGATTCCATTTTTGTTGCCTAAAATAGATGAGATTCGGTCAATATTATGTTTATTAAATGTCTTTTTATGATCAACATTTAAATTAATAGCACGATCATCGATATCACTGACATTAATATTGATTTACCAACTCAAAAAATATATATTCTATCTTACTTTAAATAGTTTTCATCAAACATCTACCATAGTCATCTATTCAAGATGATATTAAAGATGACTCCACTAAAATTATAGTTTCTCTAATGATGATTTTATCACACTTGTGATAAATCGTGCTACTTCGGTATTTGTATTTTTACAAAACAAAATCACATAAAGTTATTTATTTTCATTTAATATGAATCTCAAAATATTCTAGTCAAAATAAATAACTTCAACACCATAATTTATATTGAGTGACCAACCTATCATTCTGCAATAATTTTTCTAGAATATATAAATCTTTTGAACAAAGGATTCCATTTTTGTTGCCTAAAATAGATGAGATTCGGTCAATATTATGTTTATTAAATGTCTTTTTATGATCAACATTTAAATTAATAGCACGATCATCGATATCACTGACATTAATATTGATTTACCAACTCAAAAAATATATATTCTATCTTACTTTAAATAGTTTTCATCAAACATCTACCAT